GCCCCCAGCCATAGCCTGCCACGGCTGTTCACCGCTGCCAGGGGCGCGATGGGGAAGAGCACCCAGGGCAACAGGCCGTGGAGATAAAGAGGAGGAAGTGTCAGAGGGGCAGACTAGCCCCAGCTAGTCCCTGCCCTCTACTTCCACCCCACAACCCAGCTTTTCCCCCAAGCTTCCCCACCCCGCTCATACAGCAACCCCCCCCCCACACACACCCTCACAACCCACATTCTCCGCTAAGGCACGTAACTTCTCCAGCCCTGCTCTCATAGAAGTCCCCTCTTCCTTCCCCACACCCTACGTTCTCCCCTAAGGCACTCAGCTTCCCCAGCCCTGCTCACACAGCAACCTCCCCCCTCACAACCCAGCTTCTCCCCCAACACACAGCTTCCCCAGCCCTACTCACACAGCAAAACCCCACCCCCACACAACCCGCATTCTCCCCTAAATCACTTAGCAACCCACATTCTCCCCTAAGGCACTTAGCGTCTCTCGCCCTGCTCACACAGCAAACCCCCACCCCCTCACAACCCACATTCTCCCCTAAGGCACTTAGCGTCTCTCGCCCTGCTCACACAGCAAACCCCCACCCCCTCACAACCCACATTCTCCCCTAAGGCACTTAGCTTCTCTAGACCTGCTCACAAAGCAAACCCCCACCCCCTCACAACCCACATTCTCCCCTAAGGCACTTAGCGTCTCTCGCCCTGCTCACACAGCAAACCCCCACCCCCTCACAACCCACATTCTCCCCTAAGGCACTTAGCGTCTCTCGCCCTGCTCACACAGCAAACCCCCACCCCCTCACAACCCACATTCTCCCCTAAGGCACTTAGCGTCTCTCGCCCTGCTCACACAGCAAACCCCCACCCCCTCACAACCCACATTCTCCCCTAAGGCACTTAGCTTCTCTCGCCCTGCTCACACAGCAAACCCCCACCCCCTCACAACCCACATTCTCCCCTAAGGCACTTAGCGTCTCTCGCCCTGCTCACACAGCAAACCCCCACCCCCTCACAACCCACATTCTCCCCTAAGGCACTTAGCGTCTCTCGCCCTGCTCACACAGCAAACCCCCACCCCCTCACAACCCACATTCTCCCCTAAGGCACTTAGCGTCTCTCGCCCTGCTCACACAGCAAACCCCCACCCCCTCACAACCCACATTCTCCCCTAAGGCACTTAGCTTCTCTCGCCCTGCTCACACAGCAAACCCCCACCCCCTCACAACCCACATTCTCCCCTAAGGCACTTAGCGTCTCTCGCCCTGCTCACACAGCAAACCCCCACCCCCTCACAACCCACATTCTCCCCTAAGGCACTTAGCGTCTCTCGCCCTGCTCACACAGCAAACCCCCACCCCCTCACAACCCACATTCTCCCCTAAGGCACTTAGCGTCTCTCGCCCTGCTCACACAGCAAACCCCCACCCCCTCACAACCCACATTCTCCCCTAAGGCACTTAGCTTCTCTCGCCCTGCTCACACAGCAAACCCCCACCCCCTCACAACCCACATTCTCCCCTAAGGCACTTAGCGTCTCTCGCCCTGCTCACACAGCAAACCCCCACCCCCTCACAACCCACATTCTCCCCTAAGGCACTTAGCGTCTCTCGCCCTGCTCACACAGCAAACCCCCACCCCCTCACAACCCACATTCTCCCCTAAGGCACTTAGCGTCTCTCGCCCTGCTCACACAGCAAACCCCCACCCCCTCACAACCCACATTCTCCCCTAAGGCACTTAGCTTCTCTCGCCCTGCTCACACAGCAAACCCCCACCCCCTCACAACCCACATTCTCCCCTAAGGCACTTAGCGTCTCTCGCCCTGCTCACACAGCAAACCCCCACCCCCTCACAACCCACATTCTCCCCTAAGGCACTTAGCGTCTCTCGCCCTGCTCACACAGCAAACCCCCACCCCCTCACAACCCACATTCTCCCCTAAGGCACTTAGCGTCTCTCGCCCTGCTCACACAGCAAACCCCCACCCCCTCACAACCCACATTCTCCCCTAAGGCACTTAGCTTCTCTCGCCCTGCTCACATGCACTTGTTTGATTTTATTTTCCCTTCCATAATTTCAAGCTACGCCCCTTCCCCCGCCCCCTCCCTCGTGTGTTCGCCGGGTGCCCGTGCTTGACGGATCCGCTCCCAGCCCGCCTCTGCGCACAGACTCCAGCAAGACACCCTGTGGGGCTTCCCGGGGGGAGAAGGGACTTGCCACCGACACAACCCTCAGCCTCCCCCCCCCCTCCCCTTCACCTTCCATCGCGGCATTGGCTTCCCAAGGCACCCGCGGCTGGGCGTGGAGCAGGGATGCAAAGGGAGGAAGGCTGAAGATGGATGGGCAGAGGATCCAGCGGCAGAGGAGACGCGCTGACGGGGGTTTTCTGCTGAGAAGGGCGCTCCGCTCTTAAAGAGACGGCTGCTTCGCTTGGACTCTGCCACCCGTCCGGCTTCTCCTCCGGGCTTGCCCGGGAGCGAACCGAAGGCAGAGCAAACAGGAGACTGGCAGGGGATCGTAGCGGCACCGCGGGGCGTCCAGGGTCTACCCACGCCTGCACTCTCCCGGGGAAGGAGACGACCATTTCCCACCAGCCTAGCTTGAATTTCAAGGAGGCCTAAACCAAAGGAGCCGAAGACTCTTCCCCGCCTCTGTTCCTGTCTGCACTGATGGTGAGAGGGAAGAGCTGGCCTTGTCCAGTGCCAAGGCCAGGGAAAGGGCCATCCGGAGTGATGAGGGAGCTGAAAACAACAGTTTGGACAGATTGGTGCCTCTTCTGCTGACTGTCCTTCCCCCCACACGTTTTTTTTTTTTTTTTTTGTAGGCAACATCTGGATACAAACCTTCCTCCCTTCCTGTTAACAGCTGGATGAGAATCAAAGCCCCACCAGGTGCATGCAATGGCCGGCCAATGCTGTTTATTTCTTGGCCCCCATGTGCAGGGGGGAGCAGGCGTGATTCAGGGACTTGAGACCCCCGTGCATTGAGGAATATCTTCCCGGGGTTCAATTTGCAAATGGTTGCTGGGGACAGGCAGTCCCGAGAAGACCAAAAGGGAAAAAATTGGGACGGGAAAGGAGGAGAGACACCCCAAACTCTGGCTTCTCTGCTAATTAGATCCGGGGAGGTGCATGTGTCTTTTGTATTCGAAAAGCTGTTTTGATTAGGAGTGGGGAGCGGCTGGAGGGAGCTGGGTGGTTGGAGTTGCTAGTTGCAGCTCGTGATTCTGTTTGTTTGGAGCCCAGCCAATTTTTTCGTTAAATTCAATCTGATTTTTGGTGACATTTGAGAGGGGCGTGAGTGGGACCGGCAGGGGTGTTACAGAGCAGCCAGTTGACAGCTGCAGCACAGGGGGAGGCAGTGGAGACTCCCCGTTGGCTATTGGCACATTCCCCCATTTGGCGCCTGGGTTTCCGATTGGAACATCTGGCTTGAGGAGGACGTGGGTTTGGGGAGGAGGGGTGTAGAACCGAGATGCCATTGCTGTTGCCTCCTTGCCCTCGCCTTTTGGTTACCCTGAGGTAAATGGGAGCCAGAGCTCCATCGGCATAACCGTTGGCGTAGACAGGACCAGTTCTCCAAGGGTTGGCAGGGAAAAGTGGGCAGGCAGAATGCCTGGGAACAGGGCTTTCACCGAGCCGGAATACTCTGCCGAGTACTCTGCTGACTATTCGGTTAGCCTGCCCTCGGACCCCGAACGTGGGGTGGGCCGGACCCATGAGGTGACCGTCAGGAACTCGGGCTCGTGCCTTTGCTTGCCACGCTTCATGCGGCTCACCTTCGCCCCGGAGTCCCTGGAGAATCTCTACCAGACGTACTTCCGGCGGCAGCGCCACGAGACCCTCTTGGTGCTGGTGGTCTTTGCCGCCCTCTTCGACTGCTACGTCATCGTCATGTGCGCTGTGCTCTACACCACGGACAAGCTGGCCACCATCGTGGTGGCCTCAGTAGGCCTGGCCGCCCAGATCTTGCTCTTCGTCCTATGCAAGTACGGGCTCCTGCCGGACCGCGTCACCCGCAGATTTATGCCCTACATCCTCTGGATTCTCATCGCCGCCCAGATATTCTGCTACCTAGGCCTCAACTTTGCCCATTTCCACCAGGCCAGTGACACAGTGGGCTGGCAGGCCTTCTTCATCTTCTCCTTCTTCATCACCTTGCCCCTCCGTCTCACGCCCATCGTGCTCATCTCGGCTGTCTCCTGTGGCATCCACACCTTGGTGCTGGGGGTCACCATCGCTCAGCAGCAGCAGGATTCCATCAATGGAGGGACCTTGCTACGGGAGGTAAGGAGAGCCGTGGTCCTGAGGCGGAGGTAGGCCAGTGGGAAGGAGCCTGTGAAGGACAGGAGGTTGGTGGGCCCAGAATGTGGGCTGGGGTGATGTTTCGTACGTAACTGACCTTCAGGGATGGGTAAAGAGGAAGGAAGGCTCCAGACACCCATTTTGCAGGCTCCCCGTGTGAGGCAGTAAGGCAGCCTGTACTTATGTTGAACTGGGCCAGGACTGGCAGCTTGATCCAGAACAGCGTGTACCTCACTGGTGTTGCCAGCAATACTAGGTCAGACCTTGGGTCTGTCTTTCCACGTGAGGGACATTTAAACACCATGGACTTCTCCTACACAACCTCCCAGCCCTTTGCACCTAGGCTTGAGATAAGGGGATGGCGTTGTCCAGAGAACAGTAGTTCTTGAGCCAGGCTCCCTAGCAATTATTCAGAGGATCAGACACCACCTCCTGTTCCCCAGCTCCTGCTAGAACAAATATAGCCACTGGTAACAGTAGCTAGGGCTATTCTACGCAATAAAGCATCACACAATTCCCCCAGCACCTGCTGGCTGCCCGCTGTGCCCCGTGCATGACACTCTAGGCCCCTACCCATCATGGTGACGGGCATTTTAATAATGCCGACAGAGAATGAAATCATCTGGGGTGGGCACTGTCCATTTGTGCGTATGGATCATCCAAAGACCCCCGAGCATGTCACAAACTGGGGGAGTATCTTTCTCCTCATTCTGCCCCTGGGCAAACAGAAGCTCAGGGCAAGGAAGTGACTTGCCCAAGGTCACACTGTGTGTTGGTGGCGGAGTTGAGGCCGGAACCCTCACTCCCAGTCTGGTGCTTTCTTCGCTTGTTTACTTATTCCTGGGGTGTTAGGGTGGCAGTCAGACATGCCAGGAGAAGCCCAGACCTCACACTCTTTTGGCCTCCTAAATGGCTGCCAGGGTTATTAAACTAGCTTAGAGAACATATAAACACAGATGCCCTAGCACTGTGTGCCTCCAGCCTGCCCAAAAGCAGCTGGAATTTGCATAGTCGGGTGGGGCAGCAGCTGTACCAGACCTGCTGTGAGGGCCAAGAACTGCCCATTTTCTCATCCAACACAAGATGGGGGCTCCCACCAGAAAAGTGGACATCCATTATTCCAGTGACCAAGGGTGCTACTAGGACAGGAGCAGGAAACCTGTTTGGGTCGGGGGCCACTGACCCACAGAAAAATCAGGGGGGCACCGCAGAAAACAACAACCACCACCCAACACCTCACTGACATGACCCCCGCCTGAGAAGCAGAAAGACACTCCCCACATTTTCCTCACACACCAGAGCCTAGGGGGGCCTGGACTAGTAGTTTTTGTGGGTCCCGATGGCTCTGGAGGAGAGTCCAAAATGAGGGGTTCAAGTGTGTGGGAGGGGGCTGCCAGGAACGGGGCTCGGGGTGTGGGCTCTGGGTGGGAGGGAGAATTTACGAGTGGGTTGGGGGGCGTCTGGGAAGGTGGTAGGAGTGGGCTGGGGATGAGCAGGAGATAGGGTGGAGAAGCATAGTTGGGGTGTGGGGTCTGGCAGGGAGGGAGGGTGCAGGAGTGAGCTGGAGATTGGGGCAGAAGGTCTTGGTGGGAGAGTGCAGCAGCAGAGGGGGTGCCGGAGTGAAGTGGGGGAGTGGGGTCTGGATGGGGGGTAGCCCAGAGCCTCGGGGGCCAGATCCAAGCAAGCCAAGGGCTGGATTTGGCCTCTGGGCCATAGGTTTCCCACTCCTGCGCTAGGAGTTAGATCAGTGGGAACAGGCTGTGTCCCCGACCTCTTTCGGTAAAGGCAAGACTCCTGAAAGAAATCTGCTCTAATGTGATGATTTTTTAGTAATGCTCTAACTCAGTCTAGTCTCTGGCTTCTAGCTGAGCCAATTCCTGCTAACACTGGACCAGCAGTGACGTCTATTCTGCTGCCCACTTAGCGTTCTCTGTTGGGCATTCTGCAGAGGAATGAGGGTCAAAAAGACCTTTATTTTCAAAGCCCCTCGGTGGTTTCAGATTGTGATTGAATTGAATTGTGAGGTATCAGATCCTCAGAAAATGCAAAGCATCCACCATGTGCAAGTCAGGCTCCTTTTAAGGGGTTTCAGGTCGAGCCCCTGGAAACTAAAGCCCCCGGAAACTAAAGCCCCCAAATTCATTAGGTGCTTGAAAATTTAAGGCCAAGAGTGCCGAACTTCTGACTATGGGTAAATAGGTAATTACAAGGTAAGGTGCCAGGACATGATGCTCAAAAATACATAGTATAGCTCTGGGTTTTGTAGGCCTAGTGAAACTTGCTGTTACTGTGCACTGCAAATGGCTTCCCTTGTGTTGTGCTTTGCATCAGCTCTTAGCAGATAATGAGTTTTTAGCACTTGCTTGTAAGAGCAGAGTTTGTTGTAGGCTAGATCCCGCTCTCATTGGCTTCTGTAGGATCAGGCTTCCAATGCAGCAGTATTAATCAGGATGGGCTGATGTGTGATTCAAGGGCCATATTTTGCCCTTCCTTAGTGTTTGTCATATGAGGAGTTCGACTCTCCTTAAAGGGATGGTAAGTAGCATTATGCCTGTTTTCCAGGTGGAAAATCAGCAGCTGCAGGACTTGACCAAGGCCCAGGAGCAAGTCAGTGACAGAGAAAGGAATAGAACCCCACATCTCCCAATGTGGGGAGCACATCTCTGTGCTCGCTAACCACTCTGCCCCTGCACTGATACACAATTCACATCACAGTAATGGCCTGTGGTCTCATATCAGGCATACCCACTTTCCCGTGACTTTTCCAGTGGGAAGAATTCTGTCCAATACCTTAGCATCTGTATCTCTGTGGTTTCTGCAGTCATCACCTAGTCATGGCATTGCATCTGATGTCTGTGATGCTTCCCTCATCATGCCTTGGTCCTTTTCTGAAGGAGTTTCACCCATTCTTGAATGGTCTCAGCTGTTTGCAAGGGCACATTTGGTTATGAGTTGCACTCGATGGGCTCTCTCCTCTTGTTTCAGGTTTTCGGGGAATGTTTTAACGCAGCTGTTCTAGGGATGTCCAAGGGGGTAACCGGGCTCTGGTGTGTGAGACAGGACTCACTGTGTGAGTCCGACCAACGGGTAGAACTGCTCTTTTGGCAACAAAGCAGAGGCAGGGTGTGGAAGAGTGTGAGCATGTCTGAGAGTGTTGCCACCTTCTTAGAAAACCTTTTAACAAGACGGTTACTTGTTTAACAGTTCAACCCAGCAATTCTTTGTTGGCAGGATAATCTAAACAAATACTGCCAAGAGGTAGAGATAATACAGTGTCAAGCTTTTGCCCTAGGAACAGCTGTATAGCGCTGGTGGTTTAAAGACCATTAGGTGCCTATTAACATCAGGGGACAAATTCATCCCTGCTGTAACCTCAGTGAAGTCAATGGGGTTTTTTACACGAGAAAATGAATTTGGTTCAAGAGATTTTAGACTCAGTGTCAGGCAACTGGAACAATAGTATTCACCATTCTCTAACTGCCTTAGACGTGCCTATTGGGGCATCCTTTATAAGAAATCCTCAATACCCCTCTAACTAAATCCCCATCCTGCTAATAGAAATCTGCACTGGGCAAGTATAAATTGACCAGTGCACTAGACTGAACAGCTCTTTCCTGCCACACTGTCAATCACTTTATCGGCATTCGGGATTTGAAAGGTTAATCGGTTACCTGGTTGGTATCACCTGAAATAGGTAATGGTTACCGGGGCTGCTTCAGCCCCACAGCGAGCTCACTGTGGACAGGAGCAGCTCTCATCTCAAGCAGCCTCTGTCTGTGGGGAGCCCAGGCGCCCTGTAGACAGGGGCTGCTCTGGCAGGGGCTGGGAACCAGCAAAGCCAGCTCCCAGGTCCAGCACGGCCAACCTAACATTCAACCGGTTAACTGATGAACCGGGATTTTACATCCCTAATCGGCATGACGACAAACGATGCATCATGTGTTCACAGTATATCCAGTGACTGTGTCTGGGTGTGGCTTTCGAAATAGTAACGAGTAACCCAGAGCTTGGGAACGTGATTGAGCCAAATAGCTCAGTATTGGTATGGGATGCCATTTATGCAGCCAAAATAAGAAGTATGGCCTTCTGGTGTGAGTATGCTTCAGGAACTGCAATACAAGGAGAGGCCCAGAACATGTCTGTTTCAGACCCATACATGTCTCCTTGTGACAAATTAAAACTAAAAACCCATTTAAAATAGACATACTTATTATTAGCATGTAGACACTCTGGCTGAGATCCCGGATCTATCAGTTCAGGTCCTGGATGTACAGTAAAGGACCCTGCCTCCTAAAGCCTATAGTCTTAGCAGATAAAATAGAGTATTATCCCCATTTTACAGCTAGAGGATTGAGGAACAGGGAGATTAAATGACTTGCCCAGGGCTCACAGGAATATGTGGCAGAGCTGGGGACCCAGATCCCAGGAGCCTCTCAGTCCCTTGCCTTCATCACAAGACCTTCTCCCCACAACAACACTACAAATCTTAGAACCTTCCCCCAGCCCTAACACATCCATTTTGAATCGCTGGCCATTTCAGATGTGGTGCTGGTTGCCATGTATCGTGAGTCTGGTTTACAATACTTTTCTTTCTTCCCAAGTTACACACTGTTTCCCTTCCTTGCCTCTTAGCAGTATCCATATGCCTCTTTCCAAGAACTATGTTGCAAAATGTCTTTCAAAGTCAGTTTCTCTCCCACACACCACATAGCTCTTTCCTTCTGGGCTTTCCTGGGGCCCTAAGTTGCCTGGCTTTTATTTCCGGTTTGTACCTATGGATTCCCTGTAGGGGAAGAGTTTGACAGTATTTTACACCTTCTGCTGAAATAAGGTATCTGTGTATTGCATTTTTGAAGGGTTCTGTAGTAATCCAGCTTGGTGTGGGATTTGCTAGTCTGTTTTGTCCAGTAGGCAGTATGTTCTCTTGTTTGAGGCTAGTAGAGTCTGGAGCACTGTTCAATTCTGAGTAGAGTTGTTTGTTT